AGGACCATTCAGAGCACATCCAGCATATCTGGATTGTTATAGAAGGCTAAGACCAAGGGCTCTGATTCTGCTTGCTCTAGGATTCATTCCTCATTCCCACATTTTGATAGGAGACAGCCAGACGGAGACCCCCACCCACGCACAATTACAGCCCCTCTTTTCCTTTCTTGAAAATGCTGTTATGCTTTCCTGCCCAAAATGGTGCTTCCCACCCCCAGGGATGCGCATAGTCAACCAGAGCATCCCTGAGACTATTTTCAGGGTCTAAAATGACCCAGCTGTGCTCCAACTCCCACACAATCATTGAACGGATAACCTGCCCATCCTTTACTCCTTCTTCTGCCTCCCCTACCCCAGAAATATCTCCTCCTCCTTCTGTTTCTCCACCCAAGCTTACTTTTTGCCCAAAATCATAAGAGAAATAGCAAATCTTTCTCAGCTGATGCTAAGGGCTCGGTGAATGATTCATGGACACGGCTGCCCCCTCATGTTGAAGTTACAGAAGTCCTCTTTGCTTGATAAACATTATCAGTTTTATTTTAGAGGGATCAGACACCAGTCAAAAGAGCTTACTGAAGGGCAGCGTTACCTAAAAAGGGATCAGGAAGAGTGCTACCAGACCCTTTCTGATCTAATTCTCCTTGCTCTCCCAAAAGGTCAGTGTGATGAGCTACCAGAAAGAACCAACACATTGCAAAGCCTGATTATTTTGTTCTAAAGAAACAACACATTTTAGCAATGGCTTGGTCCAGCCTTGTAAGACTCACCCCATCACACCCAGAACTGCTACCGTGCAAAAAGGTTTCAGCACTCAAATTGGTCTTGCTCTGTTTCCTATTCCATGTTTTGCCTTGACTACTATCTTCAGTCACAGGTAAGGACCTTCTCTTCCTGTAGGATAAGGAGACCACCGCAAACCCAATAATATTGTTAAAACAGACACAGATGAGAATCCTAGGACACAACAGCCGTTTCTCAAAATACACGTCCACTGGATACAGTGCTCAGCTCGGGTACATTCCCAAGAGAAGTCCAGAGATTTCTTTTGGAAAATACATTTCATCCATTAACGTTCCACCCCTCTTTGGCCAGGTTGAGTCTCAAGCACACAGAGCATCAGTGGACGCAAGCCGTACCACTCAACAACTCGAAGAGACCGTAGATGAGTTTCAGAAGCAGAAGCTCAAAGATATCCAGGTAATCTTCTTAGGAGCTTCTGTCAAAGCTTTTAAGACTCCCAATTATTTGTGTGGTTGCTGGAGACTAAGTTCCCAAACTTTTCCAAATTAAAACATGTTAAGATGGGACTGGGCAGTGTGTTATGAAAATGCACAATAAAAATACAGGCAGCCACAAAGAGTTTTTTTTTTTTTTTAAGTAGACCCATCTTAGCTGTATTTCAAAATTGCAACCTTCATCAAGCAAACAGACTGAGAGGAACCTTATTCATTGTAAATTACCATCATCATCATCATCATCATCATCATCATCATCGTTAAGAGCACCCAACTCCAAAATTACTCTGGGCAGCTTACAAAATATCTAATATCGCCTTTGATTCTCTTCTGGAAAGGATTAGAACGGAACATCATATAATGTAACAGAACAGCATGGCAGACTGTTCTGTGAAGTCTCATGTACACAAAAACTGAGAAAAATCCATAATGCGATAATTAATCTGAATGTATTGGCCTAATCATAAATATTGCAGCACTTGATTATTACTGGACTTCTTAATGCGGCTGGGAAAAAATGAATTAAAAATTGCAACGTTCAGCTTCCATTCTTTTCACCAGCAGAAAGTGAGTGCAGCTGCTGAAGGAAACTAGGTCTTGCCAATTTGCAACTTACAAATTGAAAAGGAAGCAGGAACATTTGAAATGAAATATGATTTTGTGTAGCAATCTTGCAAGTATTTATATATAGGAGAGAGAGACAGACAGAAGCTTAATATTTTTCTGCAATTTGTTTTTTCCATTTTCAGCCTTTCTGAAGCTGTTATTTTGACCTCAAGATTACAACAGCATTAAGCTAGAACAAATGCGTATTCCATTTCCGAGCAGCAGTTGTTCGGGACTTTCGATTTTCTATCAAGCCCACCGCTCTCAAAACTTTAGAAGGAAAAGTGTGCTTCCAAAATAACTTATTCCAACCAGTTCTGGGGAAGTTGAAAAAACGGAGGCTTCCAAATATGCCAACCATGATTTACAAAGAAATTGTTAGGAGAATGAGAGAGGCCAAAAAGACTCACATTCAGTTGCACTGTTTCTTTTCTTTACAGAAAATCTTCTTAGATTTCATCAGCATCGAGATGGTTTTCCATGCAAAAGCGCTGGAGGTTTATTCCCAAGCATTCCAAACTGTGGAAAGCTACGATCCAGAGAAAGATCTCGAGGTACAAGAGGTGGGAAAGCACAGAGAGGAGTTGTGTTCCTCAGTGGGCCTTGGTGTCATTTCTGCAATGGCAGAAAGGGGCCTGCCACGCTTCCATCACCAATATTTGCACGAAGGGAAGCCGAACGTTCTGGTTTGCATTGTTCTTGCTTGGGCTTTTGAAAAATAAAATGTGGCACCTCTCTAAGGAGGTCAAGGGGGTGTACAAAGGCAGACCCCCCCCCCCCATTTTATCTTCAGGAGAACCTATGAGACAGATTGAGCCCCTGATCCACAGTCCTCCAGCTGCTTCTTCAAATGGCCCGAGTTCCAGCATCTAATCAATACAGCCAAAATATCAACTATTACTTGGTGTTCTTCTCCTCTTATGAACTCCCCAACATATAGACCAGTGTTTCTCAACCTTGGGAACTTTAAGATGTGTGAACTTCAACTCCACACATCTTAAAGTTCCCAAGGTTGAGAAACAGTGACATAGACAGTTCTTAAAAACAAGAAAGTGATCCTATCACAGGTATTATTCTATTACGTACCTTCTGTTACTATAGATTCTGGGAACAGCAGGTGAACAGGAGGTCCTAAGGTGGGGTAAGGAGGGCTCTAAAATGAGATTCTTACCTTGATAGGACTTCAGAGCAAAAATACAAGTGGCTTCTGGGAGGGTCTCCGACTCCAGTCCAGCCACCACCACCAACCCAATCTCCAGCCTTCCGTGGTCCCCAGGAGCACAGGTGAGGAAGGGGCTGCAAAAACCTGACTTGGATGAGGAAGGACGTATTGGGGGGTGGGGGGAAATCCCCATGAAAGGGGAAAGGATGTGTTTTGCCACTCAAAGGACAATATAGCAAAAGAAGAGAGGTTCCAGGAGCCCAATTATTGCTAGGTACAGCCTACACAAGCTGCCCTGTTCTGTGGGCCACAAGAAGGAAACCCGGAGGGCAGGAGCAAGTTATGGGTGAAAAGGAGTCAACTGTCACCCCAGAGGGCAAGAAACAAGAGATTGAGCCAAGAAACGAACCATCATCAACAGTCCTAGATCTCACCAAGAAATGCAATCCACAAAGTTAGCAGAGAAGCTCTTACAGATGTTGGTCATTTGCTTGGAGCTCTGTTTTCAGTCTCCATCCAGCACCAGCTGCTGCTTCTCAAAGGCTAATTGGCAAGAAGGCCTACTCAGGAGCCAATATTTGCTTCCAGGTAGACCCAGAAGAGCCTTTCCTTGCAGCCAGGGCCCCTGAAACTAGCAGTTAAGACTTCAGATCAGAAGAGACTCCTCTTTTGTTGCAGCATTCAGATCAGGGTGGGCTTGTGCAAGGGCAGTCAAGAAAAACGCTTCTGGGTTTCTACCAGCTCTGATTCAATTGGACAGAAGGAAATGTCTCTTCAGGTTCTTTTTTCAAAGGTGAAAAAAGAATGTGGGGGTCTTGCATTATTTTTTGTGGGAAGTGTACAGATGCCTCAACTTCCTTTGTGTGTTTCTTTGTGACTCCTCATATTTCCATTAGATCCGAAGGGAAGCCATTCTGAAGGCAATTTTTCCTTGGGGGGTGTTGTCCAGATGTGGGGAGTGGGGGAAAACAGGGCAGTTTC